ATCACTTTCGTCAAGTGGTGTCCTTTGATGGTGAATTAAGTTTGTAAACATTAAGTGTTAGTACTGATAGGTATGTGGTGATTCCTGTCATTTACTTGTCATTAGTTGTTTGAAGTTTTTGATTGTGTGTACGCTACGTTTGAGAATTAACTCTCTACTTTCTTGCTTTTCTTTTCCCTGTAGTTTTTTCGTTGCTTTTCCCTTCGTGGTTAAGTTTTGATTCCATTTCTGTGTGCAGAATCCCTTGAAGAATCTTTTGTAGTGGTGGCTTTGTGGTCACATATTGTTTTAGTTTCTGCTTATCACAGTAGACTTTTATTGCTCCATGTATTTTGAATGATAGTTTTGCTGGGTAGAGTATCCTGGGGTTGAAGTTATTTGCATTCAGTGCCTAGAAGATCTCATCCCACGCTCTTCTTGTTTTAATGTTTCTGTTGAGAAGTCGGCTGTGATTTTGATGGGTTTACCTTTGTATGTTATTTGTTTTTTCTCTTTTACAGCCTTCAATATTCTTTCCCTACATTCTGTATTTGTTGTTTTAATGAATCGATATGCTTGGGGTAGTTCTATTTTGATCTGCTCTTTTTAGTGTCCTGGAGGCCTCTTGCATATGAATGGGAATATCTTTCTCTAGATTTGGAAAAATTTTTCTGTTTATTATTTGTTGAATATTTAACGCATTTTTTTCTTGCACCTCTTCTCCTTCTTCGATGCCCATGATTCTCAAGTTTCGTCTTTTGATGGAGTCGGTGAGTTCTTCCATTTTGTTTTCACAGGTCTTGAGTGGTTTAATTAATAGTTCTTTGATTTTTCATTTAGTTACCATTTCATCTTCAAGTTCTGAGATTCTGTCTATATCCTTAGGTGCTGAGTGTGGAATATTCTGAGCAGACTCCTGGTCCCATTTCCATGTGAAAGACATGGAGTTTTTTTTGAGAAGCTAGTTGCATGTTCAGCGTAAATACAGTACATCCCCATGCTGGGGAACATAAGGTCGAGGGAGGAGGGCTGGTCTGCTAAGGACTATTCCTGAAATCACTTACTGGTCCTGGCACTCTACCAGGTGGGGTATCACTTCTCCTGCCACACAGATCTAAGGTGACAGGGCCCAGGTTCAGTAGCCAGTGAAGAGTGCTGGAGGAAAGAATTGTATAGACTGACCAATCACAATCTGGTGGGAGGAGGGACCACCATCTAATCCTTGACTTTCTGGTTCCCATATTTTCTGAATCACTGAGATTTCTTCTGATATGGACTCTGTGAGACTCAATCTCACTCCCCTGTTGTCTGCACAGCTAGCTAGGGTGGTGGGCACAACTGCAGTAACCTTAGAAGGTCGATGTAGTGTTTGTGACCAGTGTCCCCAGTATCAGGAGGATGAGGAAGTTAGAACCTGCCTGAAGCAGTGGTGAGGGACGTTGGCCTCCCCACCACAGCACTGGAGTCTGGGGTCTTAGCTGCCTGTCATGCCTTGTTCACTGGATCTTCTCTGTAGGGTGTGGAACTGAGAAGAGCAAGAATCCTGTCGTCCTTGTTGTCTGCCTTTGGGTAACCTGATCCATCCTGAGCCCTGGGTGCTCTTCCCAGAGGAGTGATGATGGGAGGTGGCAGGTCCTACCAGGAAAAAGCTGTGGTCCTTGGTGTCCCCGCTCCTTCCAGATTCCTCAGGGTAAAAACTGATGGCCATGAATTATATAAAATTTTGAATCAGCACCTTGAATCCAAAAACAGATCTCACACATGTGCTACTTAGGTTCTAGTAAATCCCTAAATCCACAGAGAGCTCACATTGTACAACTCACTGCAATGGTGCTTTCATTTGCACTTGGGGTTCAAATGGTAGGGATAGGTTTGGAGACTTGTTGAAGTTTATGAACGTAACTGATGTTCTCTTGGGCCTGTGTCTAGACAGCATTTTTCCAAAAAATGAAATGCAGATTTAGGCAAGACATGCACTTACGGTCTCAGTGGCAGGAACAACCCCACCAACAGAGTTGCAGGTATCTCAAGGCAAGGCAAAGAAGGGCTGTTCTTTTCAAGGGAGAAGCAAGGTATTGAAAAACAATATGGGAGGTGATGGGTAATGAAGGAGCCCAAATTAGGTCCTGGACCAGAGATCCTTAGCCTCGTGACTGTATTTCAGGTGACAGTAAAGGAGGGGTTGATATAGTGGCTCAGGCTGAGGGTGGGCCAGAGACTTCAGGTATGGGAAGAGGAGAGAATTTCATTAGGAAACTTTGTATAATTAGTGTTCTTTTTCCACTGATCAAATAAGCTGATGAATTTGAGGTAGGACTTGGAAGAATCAGAAGCGTATGCTGCCCTTTTTGGGCATCTAAGTATAATGGGAACATGAAGGGTGATGTGGTTGTGGTCTTAACCACTCATATTACCAAGATTATTTTGCTTTTGTAAGTTTTCAGTTGTTTGCATTTTCATTCATAGAATCTAACACAACGAAAACTTTGGGTTCCTGCTGGTACTGGAATGCTTTTGTGCCTTTGAGAGTATCAGTATGTATTTAGTAAAAGTTTTAAATTTTGATTATTGTGTCACGTTCTGATGTTCAGATGACCACAACTTTTGAGACCTTTGGAAATTCATTAAATGAACATAAATTTTTGACATTAAAGGTGATGTACAACAACTGATAAAAGGTATAGGAAACTGTTCAGTGAAATAATCAGACTAATTCTGAAGTACATGGAAAGATCTGCACATCCATGCACAGGAGGTATCTAGATGCCCTGGCAGATGTAACTAAAAAGTGTCTGTAAACACATGACTACAGATGGCTGCTACCTTAATCCTTTCCCTACTTTTTTCATCTTATCCACTAAGTTGTTTTCTACTATTTTAGACAATTTAGAATTTGAAAAAGTATTAGATATATTCCATATAAAAGCCTTTTTTGACAGTGGTGCTTCCTCTGTAGATGAGTCCAATGTTTGATCTGTGATTGTTCTGGTGGAATTACAAGATTAGGCCTCCACAAGTGGTTCAAGGAATCACTTCTTATTCCAATTATTTTTAATTGCTTTTTGGAATTTATTACACCTATTACACTTTGAAAAGTAGTTTTGTTCATGAGTTTGAAAGTGTATTTTTGAAATTACAAAATTGTATATACATCTAGTATGATGTGATGATGTGTTGAAATCCATCTATTTCTAGGGGAACATGCCACATTTCTGCTCCCCAGATTGTGCTTTTACATCCTAAAGCAAAACCTAATTTTATTTGAATGATCCTTCATGAGTCTTATTTAGCTTTGAATTTGGGTTGGTCTGTAGGAAACGAGATAGAAACTTCCAAATGTCCTCTCTTGATACAGTAACCATGGAGGAGCTCAGTTTCAAAAAAAAAATTGGGTGATAAGAGATATTAGATATTATTTATCATATCAACTATTATTCACCAGGAGTGTTTTCAGGTTGTCTTACTACTGATTCCCTATGGTGAACATTGCAGAAATGTGCAAATAATCATAAATAGTATATATACAATAGGATATTGTTGGAATAAATTGCTTCAGGACACTCTGCCCTTTTTACAGTTTATATTTAGTTTGGTGAGGTTCATCCCATTAGCAGTTCTACAATAACTGTAGACAAGAAACTTTTACTCATGCATTTATAACATTATTCAGGCAGTCTCTTTTCACCTGATATTGCTCTAATGGGGACTAAGCAGAAGGAATTTGTTTGCTACAATCCCAGTGTTTAACATGTAATTTTTGTGACTATGTTCAGCTTTGATTTTTATCAAGTAGGTGCAGTGAGATGTCAGAATTAGTATGACGTACCTGTGAGTATCGATGGAGAATGAGAGTGTAATAAAAATGAAATGCATTGAATATGCGGAGACCACATCAGCATGTGAATTTATTACACAGAGATTGTTTCCACTGCTGTGACACTCACCATTCTTCTCACAAATGTGTGTGGGACATATTAGGAGCCCCTGACCTTTGAGGATGTTGCTGTGAACTTCACCCTGGAAGAGTGGGGTTGCTTGGATCCTTCCCAAAAGAAGCTCTACAGAGAAGTGATGCTGGAAACCTACAGCAACCTGTACTCCATAGGTAAATGTGGCATCATCACCTTATTCAAATATGTACTGCTGTTTTGGCTGATTGGTGTTGTTGCCTCATTGGGTTTTTAGAAAGGGAGAGTAATGATTCATATATATGCAAGATCATATTATGCTATGAAAATAGCTGAGGTCTCAAATTTTTTTTTTAATTTTGATTAAATACTAATGATTTCTCTCTGTCTATATCTCACAAACAAAAGCAGAAAATGTAAATTTTGAAGAGAACTTCAGGAATCCCAGAAGAAATATGAGGTAATTTCTACTCATAACCAAAACAATGAATATCAGATGTGGCATAACAAGAAGTTTGAAAACCAAGGAAATGAGATCCCACCTTCCAGTTCTAAATTGCTGAAATCAGTGAAATGTTTCTCTAACATTGGAAAAATAAGTTAAGTATCCAGAATCAGAAAATTCAAAAATCTCACATGTGACATTATTCATAACATCTTTTTTTCCAAGAAGTCACAAGAGACATCGTCCAATTGCTCAATATATAAAAATAACCCCATTCTTTGCACAAACTTATTTAACTATATTATGTCAAATTCCATCAGAGTGGGAATATCATGTGCCCTGGCTAGACTGATAAATTTTTCACCCTATCTCCTCATGTTCATTTTTGTATTTCACCATCCAACATACTTTTGATCCAAGGCATCTCAGTAAGCACTTTAAGTGTATTTCAGTGTAGTAAAACTCATTCAGTGTTGTCAAACACCTAACATGGAAATAATATTATGGAAACACATATGAACACCAGTGTTTTGATAATAGCTGTCCTCAGGTCCAGCTCCAGAACATTTAGTACATTTGTGTTCATAAATCCTTACAGGAATAAAACCATCACTTGTGTTAATAAATCATTAAGAGGATAACAATGGTAATCTGTCTCTTTTTTATAGACCTGAAGTGTTAGAGAGCCTGGATGAACATAAAGAACATATTCACTGTGGAGAATCCTTTCAACAGACTCTAGAGAACATTGTAAGCAAGGGAACTCTGCTTAGAATAACACCATGTGAAAGTAATACATATAATGCTTATGGGAAAATCTTCGCTGATTGCAAGAGTCTTGTAGTCCATGAAAGGACGAACAATGTAGTGAAGTCTCATGGATGTAAGCAATGTGGAAAAGCCTTCACACAATACTCTACCCTTCGTATTCATCAAAAAACTCACATTAGCGAGAAACCCTACGGATGTAAGCAATGTGGGAAGGCATACACTTCTTCCAAGATGCTTCGTATTCATGAAAGAACTCACACTGGAAAGAAACCCTATGGATGTAAGCAATGTGGGAAAGCCTTTACTCATTCCAGTAGCCTTCAGAAACATAGAAGAACTCACACTGGAGAGAGACCCTATGCATGTAAGCAATGTGGGAAAGCATATGCTTCTTCCAGTATGCTTCGTGATCATGAAATAACTCACACTGGAAAGAAACCCTATGGATGTAAGCAATGTGGGAAAGCCTTCACTTATTCCAATAACCTTCGAAGACACGAAAGAACTCACACTGGAGAGAAACCCTATGCATGTAAGCAATGTGGGAAAGCCTACACTTCTTCTAATATGCTTCAAATTCATGAAAGAACTCACACTGGAGAGAAACCCTATGGATGTAAGCATGTGGGAAAGCTTTTACTCTTCCAGCACCTTCAAACATAGAAGAATTCACACTGGAGAGAACCTTATGTATGTAAAATGTGGGAAAGCCTTTGCTCATTCCAGTCACCTTCAACTACATCAAAGATTCACACTGGAGGAAACCCTATGATGTAAGCAATGTGGGAAAGTTTTGCTCGTTCCAGTCACCTTAAGAAACAAGGAACTCACACTGTGGAGAAACCCTATGCATGTAAGCAATGTGGGAAAGCTTTTACTCATTCCAGTCACCTTCAAGACATAGGAATTCACACTGGAGAGAAACTATGGCATGTAACCATGTGGGAAAGCCCTCATTCCAGCTACCTTAAGAAACATAGAAGAACTCACGCTAGAGAGAAACCCTATGCATGTGAGCAATGTGGAAAGACTTTGCTCATTCCATCACCTTAAGAAACATAGAAGAACTCACACTGAAGAGAAACCCTATGCATGTGAGCAGTGTGGAAAAGACTTCACTCATTCCAGTGACCTTTGAAGCCCTGAAAGAACTCACAATGGAGAGAAACCTTTTGGATGTAAGCAATGCGGAGAAAGTGTTCACATGCCCCACTACACTTAAAAGACATAAAGGAACTTCCACTAGTGAGAAAACCCATGGATATGAGCAATTTCCAGTGACATTAACAAATGTGAACTCACTCTGCAGAGAAACTATGAGTGTAAGGAATGAGAGACAATCTACACTCTATCCCGTCATACTCATCAAAAAACTCACACAGGACAAACCCAATGGATGTAAACAATGCGGAAAGCATTCCTCAGTTCTAGTACCCTTCATGCAGCTGAAAGAACTCATGATGTAAATAAATACTAGGGACATGGAAAATGTGGTAAAACATTCACATATGCCAGTCTTGAAAGACATGAATGACGTCAGAATCCCCATCAATCAATATGGGAATCCTTTCACCTTTTACAGTAATCTCTGAAATGACACAGTGAACATTATACACGTGCATCATGTGACTAAGCCTTCACACAGTCCAGTGCTGCTCCAAAATATACAAAATTAACAGTAGAGAATAATTGTATAAGGAAAGCAATGTGGAAAGTCTTCACTCATTTCCATGACCTCAAGCATGAAAGTCCTCACACTGGAGAGAAAATCTATAGGTGTAAGCAAAATGAAGCTGTCTGTATTCATTCCATTCACCACCAAACAAACGAAATAATACAATCTGTGCCAAACCTTACAAGCATAACATACATGGGAATGTCTTCTTTCATTCCCTTTACAAAGAAATACATGCAAGGTATCATGTTGGAGCATAACTGTGTATTGAAGTAATGAGGGAAAGCCTTCACTTATCCTGCTTCCTTTCAGCAATGAAGGAAGGAAGGAAGGAAGGAAGGAACTCCATTCTTGCACTCATGAGACTGCCCAGTTTGTATAACTTTTTGTTAGCAAAAGCATGCCATGTCACTTGCTTTCCTCCAGAGATATAATGAAAGATGATATGAAGAGAAAACTTGCCTTAAGCTTTTGTGTGTGCAGGGAAGGGACTCCACCTTCAAGCCACACAACCCATCCAGTTCATTGTCTTTTAGTTATTTTGAAGCAAGGGCCTATGAACAGTTTGCCCGGGCTAACCTCCAACCATTATCCTTTATGTGGGTTGTATTTCGTTAGTCTTGTTCAGTTGTAAATATTCTATGGTCTGTAAGTAGCCAAGTAGAATCTTCCTATTGTCTCTTGGTACAGTCACAGGAGAGGTGCTCAGTTCCTTTTTTGTCATGAAAGAACTCAACACTGGAGACAATCCTTATGGATATGGAAATGTGGAAAAGCATTCACATACTTGTGCTAGCTTTATAGGACTCATAACAGGAGAGAATTTCTATGGATATAAGTAACGAGGGAAATTTTTTTTTTTTTACTTCCAGTGATCTTAAGAAACATGAACAAACTTATGTTTGAGAGTAAATATAGGAAAGCAAGATGGGAAGTCTTCACTTATTCCGGTACCATCAAACCATGAAAGTCCACACTTCAGAGATAACCTATAGCTTTTAGCATAGTGAAAGTGCAATTCACCTCTACCATAATGAGATAACTCACAGTCAAAGTCGTTATACATGTAAGCCATGTTGAGATGTCTTCATTCCATTATACGAATATACATGAAATATATCACACTGATAATTTCAAACCCCAGTATAACAAAAAAAAAAATAGTGTGGTGCAGACCCAGCTTGTAACAACATCAACAAAAGAATCCCAGAACCAGTGTCTCATACCTGTATTCGTAGAAAATTAAGAGGCACAGATGTGAAGGATTGCAGTTCAAAGCCACCTCCAGCCAAATTGTTCATGAAACACCATGGTAAAAGGACCATCAAAAAATTGCTGATGGACTGGGCTCAAGCAATAAGTGCCTCCCAAGGAAGTGTGATGTGAGATCAAATCCTAGTGCCCCACCCCCACAAAAAAGAATTCCCTGTGTTTTATTCTAGTCCCTTTGCATATGCATATATGCATGTAAGTGTGAGAAGGGCAAATATATGAATATACATGTGGATTTCAATGTTCTATAGGGAGGAAGTAATGTGGGCAGATGTCTGAAATCATAGCTTGTCATGAGACTCACAGAAAATGGACACATGACAGAAGTCCAAAGAGAACCAGTTCTATGGATCACTTTACAATTTCCACAGGGCAAGAAGTAAAGAACCTGTTAATAGAGTAAGTCACATATACAGCCCTCAAATTTTTTCTCTGTACATGAGTGTTGCCTAAAATATTTTTCTGGACAGGTTTCATGATCCATGTGATAAAGCACTTACCAAGTATGCATAAGATCGTAATTCATTCCCCAAATGGTGAAAAAAATAGGAAAGTGCAACTTGTGGTTCTTCTAGCAGTTGGGATCACTTTATAGGCTGAGCTCACAATTTTATAATAAACTGTACCTTCTGTGTTGCTTTTCTGGTTCTCATTTCCTCCTAAAATTCATTTCTTGGCAATAAGTAGAACCTTCAGCCCCTTCCATAGAGATTGCTTTTTCTAGATCCACCATAGCAACTTTCGTTTTATGATTTTCCAAAATATTCTTCTGAAGCACCATAGGGGCCAGAATTTCTACCTCCAATTTTCTCCAATGCATGGGTCCAAAATTTGACAATTTATTGTCTTAACTGCCAAATTTGGCAGTCTCTTACCACTGCTAAAATTTCTTCCTTGATTACCAATTCAGTGTAGGCATCCCCACTGCCACTATGCCAAACATCAGCATGGGTTACACCAAAACCACCACCATGATCATTGAAATTTCCTTGTTGCCCAAAAGAATCATTGCCATCAAAGCCATTTCTGTAACCAAGGGCCAATGGCCCATGCCTGTTATCCTAGCTACTTGAGCAGAGATTGTAGGGTTTTGGTTCAAAACTAACCCCAAATAGATTATGAGCCCCTTTCTTTATCCCATCACACACATAAAAAAAAATTCTGGTGGAATATCTCATGATGAAGTCCCAGCACTTCAAAAAACAACAACAAAAACCCCACAAAAGAAAAACAAAATACCCTTAGTGACCACACATATTCCAGAAACACTTCATCCAATTTGTCTGAACTAATTAAATATATTCTGTTTGACAGGGCTTCCTTATATCACAGTTCTGACTATTCACAGCATAGTATTACTTTTTATTTATTTTGACAGCAATGCCTATTAAAACAGAGCTTTGCTCTTCCTAAGCAGACAATGATCTGAGCCAGGGCCCTAGCCATTTCATGATAATTTAGAAATTTTTCAGGTATGGTTTCCCATTTTTACCCATTGCTGCCTCAAAATATGCACCTCCACCAATACTTTTGTGTATCTGCAATTACAGGCACATGCTACCATGCTGACATTTTTGCAAAAAAAGTGCCTTTTTGCTTTGCACCCATGAATATGATTTCATTCACTTCACTTTTGCCATCCTTGAAGAGATCATCTGATTTCTGTGGTTTCTTTAAAGAAGATTGCAAATTTTTATTTGGTGGGATTTGGGTTTCAAATTAGGTCTTTACAATTGCAAAGCAGGTATCCTGCTACTTGAGCCACAGTTCCAGTCCAACACATAGATGACTTGGGTTCTGAGAACCTCCTTAGACAGCTCTGCCTCTCTGCAGACCTCTTCATTTGACAATTAAGTGTGTTCATTCTGAGGGAGAGAATGAAAAGAGAATAATCTGTGCATGTATCACATGTACACCTGCATTGAAAAAATATTTAAAATTTTGGGGAGAAAAGAGGTTAATAAAAAGCACACAAAGAGTGTTAAAGGAATTAAATGAAGTCATACCAATGTCTTTTTCTACATCGGGCATAGTGGTGTTTGGACTGGAACCTCACACTCGCTAGGCATGTGGCCTAACAGTTAAGCCACACAACCAGGCCCCCGAATCTCATTTTTGTTCTCATTTGTTATCACACACACATGTCCAAAATGAAAAATTTCAACATTGTACTGGGTACTTTTGTTTTCTGTTTTGCTGGGATTTACACTCGGCCTTATGCTTGCTATGAAGGCACTTGACCACTTTAGTCACGCCCCCGCCCATTTACAAGTGCACATAAGGAAAATGATGAATGAGAGCAACTGCATGGATGATGGCAGGGAGGGCTCAAGAGCATTCCAAGATACCTGCACTGCTCCTGCACCTGGATAGTGATATTTCACAGTGAGCAAAAGACCGGGAGTGTGGCTCAAGGGGTAGACTGCCTACCAAGTGCAAGGCCTGAATTCAGATGGCAGCATAACAAAAAAGTGGATGAAGTGACTCCCAGCTACTGTGGAGGCTCTGGCCAAAAGATGACCAGTTGAGTTCCAACTGGGGCCACTTAGTGAGATCCCATCTCAAAATAAAAAGCCTAAGCAATGTAGCACACCCCTATAAAACACAAAACATCGGGCTTCGTCTGACACTCCCGAGATAATATGGTCATTCTATGAGGCTGGGTGGGAAATTTCTTGAGTGGCTCAAGGTGAATGTTATTCTTAAGAGCCGGGTTGAGAGTTTCCAGTAAGCCACCTGGGATGAGGAAGGTTCCAATCCTCATGTGGCTGCCCAATATTCAGTCTAACAACCAGGATAATAGGCTTCTGCCACCAGCATGCTGTTCATTCTATAATAGTTGAAAACACATAAACCAGATTTCCAGGAATGACCATCCCCATTCGTAATGACCACAATAAGTGCTGGAGTTCTCAGAAACCGAGTACAATATTCCTACTTGAGTTTTACCACCCTTCCGCTAAGGGGTGCACCTTTATTTTCTTTTGCTTTCCTTTGCGTAAATAAACCTGCCCAACCTTCCTATTACATCAGCAGCAGCCCTCCCCTGTATTCAGTTGCTTACTCCTCTGTCATAATAAGCCTTATTTTCTTTTCTTCGCGAAATTCTTTTACCAAGAAGTACCAAACATCCCCAACTCTCTCCTGGTATGCCCTTTACTGTTTATAGAAATGCAACCGTATGTGCTGTC